TACGACGTACTACTACTACTACTACTTACGTAGTAGTACGTACTACGTACGACGTACGACGTACGTACTACGTACGACACACACACACACACACACACACACACACACACACACACACACACACACACACACACACACACACACACACACACACACACACACACACACACACACACACACACACACACACACACACACACACACACACACACACCAAACTATTAGGGTGAGAGCTGCTCCACCTCTGAATATATTACACGAGTAATGGTTATTGCTCAAATACAGAATATAGTACTTAGTGTATTTATTTAAAAGTTTAAAATGAAGTCCTGAAATCTATATCTTTAATGTTTAATGATCTTAAATAGAGATAATAGAATTGCACTTTAGTAAATACGCCCCCCACCTGTCTTCCCGTCCACTTTGGGGTCCATGATGATGAACTCGGGCCTCAGCTTGCTGATGCGCCGGCCCTTCAGGATGGGCACCAGCCCCCCCAGGTACTCCAGGTACAGGGTGTAGCACGGCCCCCCCGCCTCAGGGCTATCCTCCGCCCGCTTCATGGTGCAGTGCAGGCGCTCGTTCCCTGCCGTGGGGTAACTCACAAAGTCCCGGATGTTGTTGGGGTCCGGGATCGGGGGCTGAACAGAGAGAATCAGAATTAGTCCCACAGAGGGGACATTTACATTGTTACAGCAGAAAAGAGTCAAAGACAGCTTCATGTTACCTACGAAGCATGCATACAAAAAAACAATATCATAAAAAAAGTTACACAATTTACAAAAAACCCATCCTGTAACAGATCTGAGGGTGTAGCAGCCAGGTGTATATTGTTATTAATGGCATTAAGGTTCTTTTTACGGCACATTTATTTTGCAAATGTAGTTACTTTGCAGAAGTAGGACTTACACATGTTTATTGACCCATGCATTAATTAATGTAATGGACTGTTCCTGCTCCAATAACAGTGCAGGATCTCCACCTTAAATCTTTTGAGATGTGGTCATAAAGAAATATTTGTATTGCACTAAAATAAATTACGCTTAAACTACTATACTATTTCAAAATTCTCTATAGTATTTATACTGCAGGTAAAGATCTGAATCCATCAGTCCGTGAGTAACTAACGGATCTGAGTACTGCTGAGTATTATGCATGTTATCCCCTGTGTTCCTGCAGGGGGGGGGGCAGCACCTTGATGGTGGGGATGAAGGCGGAGGTGACGTAGGAGCAGAGCAGCGACGGCATGTTGAGCTTCCCCACGTCCTTCTCCTCGCGCAGGGCGGAGGCGATGCCCTGCTGGCAGAGCAGCTGCAGGCTGGCCACGCGATGCTCCACCCGGACCACGTAGAGCGCCGCCCCGCAGGCCAGGAAGAGCCGAGAGTCCCTGTGCCCCCAACACAGCGTGGTGATGGGCCTCTGAGAGGAGGAGGCTAACAGCATTAATATATATCTGCAGACTGAGGGGGCAATGTAACGTATAAAACTGTGTCTATCTCCAGAGGTGGAGCAGCCCTCACCCTACTGGTCTAGAACTGAATGGCACTCGACAAAAACACACAACTTTCTACATGTTGTGTAGACATGAAGGTAAGTGTTTGAAATGTATGTCTGCATACTTTGTTATACATCCTTTAGCTCAGTGAATACGTCCAACCTACAGACTCAGATATCACCGACTTTTCAGCTTTCAGATCCCGCCTTTCTGTGGATCCAGTCTGAAGGACACGTGTATGTTTAACGGTAGCATGTAGTCTGCAGCATGTGAAGCAGCCTCACCTGTGCAGGTGTCTCCAGGGTGTAGATGTGCTCCCCCTGCACGTTGTAAAACTTCACCAGAGCGTTCCTGCTGAGGGGGGGCGAGCACGACGAGTCTCCCACTCTCTCCATGCCGGCCACAGCCAGCAGGTCTCCCTGAGAGCACCACTGGGCCTCCACGTCTGGGGGGGGGGGGGGTCAAAGTAGCAGGTACATATAGAATGTATTTTAGTTCACTATGTAATGAGTATATAAACATTCACTACCTTTGAGTCCGGAGCGTATGACGAGGGGCGACAGGTCGTCGTAGTTGTTCATCAGACTGATGTCTCCAGATAAGAAGGTGACGGTCAGCAGAGGCTTCACCCTGCGCACTGACACACAGAGACACAGAGAGACACAGAGACACACAGAGACACACAGAGACAGAGAGAGACAGAGACACAGAGACACAGAGACACACAGAGACACAGAGAGACACAGAGAGACACAGAGAGACACAGAGAGACAGAGACACAGAGAGACACAGAGAGACACAGAGACACACAGAAGACAGAGACACAGAGACACAGAGACACACAGAGACACAGAGACACAGAGACACACAGAGACACAGAGACACACAGAGACACAGAGACACAAGAGACACAGAGACACACAGAGACACAGAGACACACAGAGACACACGAGAAGAGACACACAGAGACACAGAGACACAGAGACACACAGAGACACACAGAGACACAGAGAGACACAGAGAGACAGAGAGACACAGAGACACAGAGAGACAGAGAGACACACAGAGACACACAGAGACACACAGAGACACACAGAGACACACAGAGACAGAGACACACAGAGACCAGAGAGACAGAGACACAGAGACACACAGAGACACAGAGACACACAGAGACACAGAGACACACAGAGACACAGAGACACAGAGAGACACAGAGACACAGAGAGACACAGAGACACACAGAGACACACAGAGACACACAGAGACACAGAGAGACAGAGAGACACAGAGACACACAGAGACACACAGAGACACACAGAGACACACAGAGACACAGAGAGACACAGAGACACACAGAGAACAGAGACACAGAGACACACAGAGAGACAGAGACACAGAGACACAGAGAGACACAGAGACACAGAGAGACACACAGAAGACACAGAGACACAGAGACACAAGAGACACACAGAGACACACAGAGACACAGAGAACAAGAACACAGAGACACACAGAGACAAGACACAAGAGACACAGAGACACAGAGACACAGAAGAGACACAGAGAACACAGAGAACAGAGAACAGACACACAGAGACACACA